CTGCAAATGCTCTAAGTACGGAAGTACACTGGAAATGCTCTAAGTAGTACACTGCACATGCTCTAAGTAGTACACTGCACATGCTCTAAGTAGTACACTGCACATGCTCTAAGTAGTACACTGCACATGCTCTAAGTAGTACACTGCACATGTTCTAAGTAGTACACTGCACATGCTCTAAGTAGTACACTGCACATGCTCTAAGTAGCACAATGCATATGCTCTAAGCATGACCAATGTAAAAACAAAGTTTTATTATCCCAGCTTGAATGAAAGCATAGTTATTCTCTGAACACAAAAGATTTAACAAAGGGCAATATCTCTGTAATTAAGGGGTTACAGGTCGAAAATTTTGCCACAAAATTGTAACAAAGGGCAATAACTCTGTAATTAAGGGATTACAGATCCTACATTTTGTATACTGCACATTGTCGTAGTGTGACTTATGATACTCAAAATTGCATGGTCCTAGTTTAAATGCAAGCAAAATGATTAACAAAGAGCAATAACTTTGAAGTTAAGGGGTTGCTGGCCCTAACATTAGTACACTTCACATTGTATTTGTAGAATCAATGTTTACAGTAAACACAAACTTCATTATCCTAGTTTAATTGCAAGCAATTGAAAGTTGTACTCTTGACACAAATTTTTAACAAAGGGCAATAACTCTGTAATTAGGGGGGGGGCGGTTCTGGGCCCTGAATATGAAACATTGCACATTGTTTTTGTATAATCAATGTATACACTAGATATTATTACCCCAGAAAAAATGCAAACAAAGTTATGCTTTGTATGGGAAATTTAAACAAAGGGCAATAACTATAATTGAAGGGTAATGGGCCCTGAATTGGGTACACTGCACATTGTAGTTAGTATGACCAATGTATACACATATACAAATACTTATAGCTTTATGATCCATGCTTAACTGTGGGCAAAGTTATGCTCCATACAATAAAGGACAGACAAACGGATAAAGTGGCTACTACCATTAGGCTCCCCTGAAAATGTTCAGGGAGCATAACAATCTTACTCAACGACACTTGTACATAATTATTATCCTCGTTTTTATTGGGATCCCAAACTGAGACACAATCAATCCAGGCTGGTCATTGATATCATCGACATATGTAGTTCTGTTGTTGAATAAAGGTCAAAGACATGACCCATTTAACTTATGATTCAAAATGCATTAAAAGCAGAGATTACTAGGAAGGTGAACTTTTTTCACTTACTTTTGCTTCTGTGCTTTCAATTTTTCAAATCTTTCTCTCCATGAATTAGTCTTTTCTTTCCATCCTGAAATGCCGAAACATGTTTTAGATGAAAAATAGATAGATACAAAATGCAGCCTGTAATAATTTGTTAATTGTTGTTTCCAAATATATATAACAAACATAATAAAAGACAAAGTATCCACAACATTAAACATCAAGTTCAGAGGTAAGATGTGTTATTGTACTGTCCAGCTAGTAACTATAAAACTCACCAATAAAACAGTAAAATTTAGTTAATTAAACTTTAAACAAAGAGGGAAGAAGCAGCATCTAAAATCAAATTAAAAAAATAGCATGTTCCTTCATCACCTGTAGACGTTGGGAAGCCTGGCTCCAGTTTCTAGTAAATAAGTTAATGTTATACCAGTAATCTAAAGTTCATTTATTTTACAACAAACCAGTAATTCAAATTTATATGAATCACTCCTGCTGACCCAAATGGAAAGATTCTATATTGGAAGAAATCAGAGTCTGTTCAGGGAATCAAATCCTGGATACCGAGCTAAAAGGAGAGAGTTACCACTGTGCCACCCAAATGCTCTAAAGAGTTATATTGAAATTAAAAAATTAACAATACAGAATGTATTTTATCACTCTCTTAAACATCAGTATAGCAGGTGTACCTCAAGGACCCATACTCTTCCTTATAAACGACCTTTCAGACCACATAGCACACAGACTTCATCTGTATAATAAATGAATTTATCATAGTCATGAAACGCAATGGATGCAGTTCATTCAGAACATGTGAACTCTTAGAAGACGAGGTCCTTTGGACAGGTGTCTATATTGAGGAAAGTGCAACACAAGTGTCAATTGGGGTAATAAATAAGATTATAGTGTAGCATGGTCATTCGAGTCTTGACGGTCTACTTGTTCAGACATATAGCCAAACCTTCACAACTATTACTGAGCTATGGAAGTCACATGCTAATTCCGGAAGTTAAAGGAATAAATGACGTCAGCAGATTTTGTGAATGGCTCAGTATGATTGAATTTTTTTGTAAGATTGCCTGATTAAAGCTATATGGCTGTCGAAGGCCACATATATATATATGTGTTGAGTTTTATATGATAAATTATTATGATTGTTTGAATGTAATGAATTAGAATCATAAAAACCAATACACAATACAGAAGATACCTTCAAACTAAATGAAGATTCCATGGCAACAGAACTGACCCCTTCATATGCAAACCCATAACTGCTACATGGGACACCATCAAATACCAGGTACTTATTTTTCCCCAGAACAATATTACAATGGAACCTCCTGTCATTAGCTGTAGTACAAAGCACAATACTTGAAGGATTCAAGGTACGTGTCCCTTTGAAGCCCTCACACAAAAATACTAGTGAAACACCCATGTTTTATTTTCATCTTAGACAGCACTCTTCACAAATTGAACAAAAATACAAACATGGTCATTTTATTCCTCACACATGCACATCCAACCCTTCAAATCCCTTGTCCACGAAATCATCAATACTGATGAGGTGGATTTACTCACAGAAAAAGAAATCAATATGAGTAGTACATGTACAAACCTTTGATTTCTCTGCTGTGGATGTCAGCTAATTCTCTGTACACTTCATCAAAAGTCCTCTCCATGGTCTATCAATGCTTGCTTCAACACTGAATCAGGGATCGGTCAGTGTCATCTGAAAATGGCCCATGATTGACATTCAGAGAAAATATTATGTTAGGCAAATTGAAACTGTTACTATTTTTTTCTTACTGGACATTTGTAGATCTAATTCACTAATTTAGTTTCATCGCCTTTAATTATATTTACTTAACAACAGTATATTACTCATCATAAAAATTCTCTACATCATCCATTTTGGATCATATTTTGGTCCTATTTTTCACTCTGTTTTCCACTTTTGTCACAAAAACTTCTTTTTCCAATTTCTCAAAATTTCATAGTCAGTACTGATAGGTCAATGCGAAAAGGAATACTGTGCAATCATGTTAACCAGAAATTATTGTAGGATAACCGGAAGGATGGTACAGTGATAAGCTTAATTGACAGCTGATGCAGATGTGAGCTGAGATTGACCCACAATGGTAACCGATGTCTACACAAATATAGATACAAATATTTGTAAATGTTGCTATCATCCTTGATGTAAAATTTAATTCAAATTTCAAGTCGATTGATGAAAATGACACTGTAGTTCCTCTTTTTTCTGTTTTTCCACACCATAAAAAATCCACTGCCAACAACTTTTATATGACATTAACGTTATGAACGTTTTGAAAGTGGTTCGATTTCCTAGCGGAATCGGAGAATTCCAGTGAGATGTGCCGAAACGACCTGAAGTACAAAGTACGGCTTTCTTGATGGCGTAATGACTGGACACCAGCTAAAAGCACAGAAACCCACTGGAACGTAAACAACACAAGTAAAAATCCGGTCTATTATGCATATGAAGGCATCTCTTTAAGATATATCACGATCAATTCCTCAAATAAAGTCAAATGAAATATGTATGAAAGGAAAGTGAAATAGTTAAAAATGAATAAAATATATTGATAATTATACAATAAATATCTCGGCTAATTTTTTCTTTCGTAAGTAGCGCCATTTCCTCAATATTGCCGTAAGTGGAAAGTGCGTGGGATATGTCGTAAAGCTTTACCTTCTAACAAACTTTATTTATAAATTTTATATCCATTGGATTGGGTACTGTAAGATTTAGATGATGTTTCGAAACGACGAATTAAATGTAAGACATTGTTATTGATAAAAAACTATTTAGCCATAATCAGAAACACCGACCGGAAGTAAACAATTTTTGACAGAGAGGGCTTGATTGGTAACATTTTTATATCGTCTATGTTTTATTTAAATTTATTTATGCTTAAGAAACTAAGAAATTGCGTTCAAGATACTCTGTACCAATGATACATACAAAAACCCCAAAATAAGCAATACATTATGCTTTTGGGTAGCATTAGAGTATTGAAAGTGGTCATCCTTTTAAAAATTACACGATACAAATGGTTGTTCAAGAAGTTGGGCCCAACGCCTCACTATTTTTTGTTACCATTTCTAAAACAAACTTGATGTATTTCTATTTAAGAAGGACGCTGCAAGTGATAAACTGATTCATTACTCGAAGAAGTAACTATCTCTCAAATGCAGGACTATTACTTATGTGACGGGCTGTGTCCTACTTGTTTAATGTTCAAAAACTGCTGGAACGGAATTTTAACAAGATGTTTCATATCAAGATGTTTCATCGATCGATGAAATACATATTCTGTCTATAATGCATACTCAACAGATGAGACACGTGTCACGGTGTTAGAAAAATATAATCATGTCTAGATCTGTTTTTGAAAGAGTTTGAAAGTTATATGGATTCATAATGTCATGCTTATAATTTTAAAACATGTTTGATTCATAGCTCAGTCAGTGGTAAATCAGATTTTTCATTGTATCGTGATTCTTGATACCATTTTGATGAAGAAGAAGAAGGTCAGTTTGGTACATAATGGTGCTAATACAGTCGACTGATGGAAAGTGATGCCTCATTGGCTTAGTTGGCAGAGATCTGACCATGGATTATTAATACATGAAAATTAAAACCTAGTTTCAATTCCTTTTTCAGGACACTGAATAGGAACATACTTTTTTTCTTTTCTGTATCATTTGTATTCATTTAATTTATTAGTGTATTTTACATGTCATGTATTGCAGCCAGTGTTCAACATGGATGGTGATTGGCAGAGTAATGATGGAGACGAAGGATTTGATGATGGAGATGAAGCAGAGGAAGAAAATGTTCCCATGGACATAAACTTGGTCACAGAAGGAGAAGGTACTGTATAGCTGTTAGAGGTGTGACAGTGTATTGGTATACTACAATACACAAAAATGATGTAGCACATACAGGGTACAAAAACACATATCTAGATATTAAAATTTTCAGCATTTTATATCAATCTCTTAGTGGCTAAACTAGCAATGGCCTCTCACTTTTATTTTAACTTAAACACTTGCAAAGATGAAGCGTCCATAAGACCCTGTAAGAGCTTGTAAAATTAAGCCTTTGTGAGATCCTGTGTCAGTGGGTCAGATCGTGTTATGTTTTTCATGTCTTTTATCCTTTGTGATGGTTTTCCATTTCTGAACAGAGAGACACAATTTATGTAAAAATCATGAAAGTGATACATATCGTGATACAGTCTCCATGCATCATGTTAAATTACGATAGGCTTCAGTCATACAGTTACACACTTAATGGCTATTAAATCTACTTTAGATCTATCTAGTAGTGTAACATGATATATCATGATTTGATTCGACCATACTGTTACACCCATAAAGGCTATTAAATCTATTATATATCTATCTATCAAGTGATACTGTATCATTGTCTTGTGAGTGTTATTTCATATCTACTGAGTGTGATCAAAAGAGACTGGGATTGTTTAATCTCTGATATTGAAGATGTATTGATAATTGGACTCTATTTTGGTCACTATCATAGAATATTGGTATTATTTCCATTACATGTTAATGTTGGAACATTGTACAATACTGAAAATCTCATATCAAACACGCTGACATACTTGCATAATACTAGGTAATCAAAAAGACGTATTTTGATCTCAGGCTGTCAACCGATTCCTATATTCCTATATTTTCCAATGTTTTGGATCAAAAACCTATATTTTAAAAGACCTTCTTTATTTCCATTATTTTCCTATTTTTAGAAAAATATTCCTATATTTTTCAGGAAATTTGTTTGTTGATAGATGTAGAGATTGTAAATATTTCTTTGATACTTCTTTTGGCTTCTTTATTTTACAAGTTAGAGAATTCTTAAGTCTTCAACAGCATTAACAGCCACCAGAAAATGATTCTTTGTTGCCTGTACGGGCACCTCGCGAGGCAGTACAACAGGTATTGGCCTTTTAGGCACCCATTCAGATGATGATGATGATGATGATCTACGCAGCAGCTTTCTGCCTGGATTGTGATGCTGTTGTAGTGAATGGTTACTTTAAGGTAGTTTTTAATAATTTATTAATATAGAAACAGTAAGTGAAGGTAAGAATTGTTAGTATAAATGCCTTTGAATGAAACAATTTTTGTTTGGAAAACTCCTATATATTGCCTTAAAACTAGCAAAAAACTCCTATATTTGTTGAAAAAATGTTCCTATATTCCTCCTATATTTTGAAGAAGACTTGGTTGACAGCCTGCAATCTGTCTAAATGTGACTTTCATCTTTTTGCATTACTTCAAATACATGTTTTAGTACAAAGACGGGGTCCTATATGTATCTAGGGTTGAATAGCTACGAGCTTCACTATTCTCTTAAAAGAAAATATTGAATTACTATCTATCTAGCATGGAGTGTCTCTGGGGAAGGAAGTGCCAAGTGATGTAAATGGAGGATTGGATCTCCTCTGTACATGTATCACAAAACTTGATTAAGATCTTACCACACTGGTCAAATGTTTCTATATTTCAAATGATGCACCATGAGGTGCAACCATTTTTCCTGGCCTTTGATTTTCTGGGACATATTCAGTGTCTGCCAGGTCTGAGATCAAGCATTTCAAATTCTTTTACAGTGGACAAAAAAATAAAGAATAGAAAGAAGAAGTGTCTCTTAATTCTAATATGTCATTTTACTGGTAGATAATATGATGCATCACCAAATAGATAAGCATTGAATTGTGAAATGATTTTGAACTGATACAGATGAACTATTAAACGGTCCTCGAGCGAGTGTATTCTATATGGTGCCACAGTCAGAGGATAAAGGCAAAGACTACACAAAGACTGAAGTGGAGGAGATGATGAAGTCAGAGCAGTACCAAAAGAAAATTGATACTTGTCATTTGTAAGTACACATGTTTATTACATCTATGGAGAGGATGTACTTATTTTGGCTATAGAAATACTATGCCACTTTTTATAGAATACATGTATGCTGTTCTGAGTATCTGATATTGTGTTATAGTAGTAGTATTCTCCTGTTTTGATTAAGTTTTTTCTTTGTTGGCAGTCAGTGTTTACACATGAATATTGACACCACAATGATGATTACTAGTAAATGTAATGTTGTACACAGTAGTTATTGCAATTTAGGAACATGCTTAGACATAAAGGTAGTTCTAGATATATCATGGGGCAAGTCTAAACAAGCAAACATAGTGGCATTGAAAAAGTTGTTGCAGTTCAATGATCTCATCATCATCATATCGTCTGATTAAGGCAGGAAACAATTTATATAGATGTAGATTTAAACTGATATTCCCTGGTTAACAAAAAAAATTTAAGAATCTAACAATGTGCCAAACATTTGATTTTGTGTTTCTTTGAAGTTTATTTGGAATTTGAAATTTGTCATTCTAGTTTTACCGTCTTACCTTTTTAAGGAACCATTAATTTATGGACAATTTTAAGAAGGTGAAAATATAAACTTTTTTCTTTCAAGATTCTTATTCCAATGTTGACCACACCCACTTGTCTGTAATTACGATATTGTAGTGTTACATAGATCTTATTCCAATGTTGACCACACCCACTTGTCTGTAATCACAGTATTGTAGTGTTACATAGATCTTATTCCAATGTTGACCACACCCACTTGTCTGTAATCACAGTATTGTAGTGTTACATAGATCTTATTCCAATGTTGACCACACCCACTTGTCTGTAATTACGATATTGTAGTGTTACATAGGTCTTATTTCAATGTTGACCACACCCACTTCTCTGTAATTACGATATTGTAGTGTTACATAGGTCTAATTCCAATGTTGACCACACCCACTTGTCTGTAATCACAATATTGTAGTGTTACATAGGTCTTATTTCAATGTTGACCACACCCACTTGTCTGTAATCATATTGTAGTGTTACATAGGTATAATTCCAATGTTGACTACACCCACTTGTCTTTAAAATCAGTATTGTAGTGTTACATAGATCTTATTCCAATGTTGACCACACCCACTTGTCTGTAATTACGATATTGTAGTGTTACATAGATCTTATTCCAATGTTGACCACACCCACTTGTCTTTAATCACAGTATTGTAGTGTTACATAGATCTTATTCCAATGTTGACCACACCCACTTGTCTGTAATCACAGTATTGTAGTGTTACATAGATCTTATTCCAATGTTGACCACACCCACTTGTCTGTAATCACAGTATTGTAGTGTTACATAGATCTTATTCCAATGTTGACCACACACTTGTCTGTAATCACTTCTCTGTGTTACCACACCCATCATCTTATTCCAATATTGTAGTGTTACATAGATGTTTATTCCAATGTTGACCACACCCACTTGTCTGTAATCACAGTATTGTAGTGTTACATAGATCTTATTCCAATGTTGACCACACCCACTTGTCTGTAATCACAGTATTGTAGTGTTACATAGATCTTATTTCAATGTTGACCACACCCACTTGTCTGTAATCACAGTATTGTAGTGTTATATAGATCTTATTCCAATGTTGACCACACCCACTTGTCTGTAATCACAGTATTGTAGTGTTACATAGATCTTATTCCAATGTTGACCACACCCACTTGTCTGTAATTACGATATTGATATTGTAGTGTTACATAGATCTTATTTCAATGTTGACCACACCCACTTGTCTGTAATCACAGTATTGTAGTGTTACATAGGTCTTATTTCAATGTTGACCACACCCACTTGTCTGTAATCACAGTATTGTAGTGTTATATAGATCTTATTCCAATGTTGACCACACCCACTTGTCTGTAATCACAGTATTGTAGTGTTACATAGATCTTATTCCAATGTTGACCACACCCACTTGTCTGTAATCACAGTATTGTAGTGTTACATAGATCTTATTCCAATGTTGACCACACCCACTTGTCTGTAATTACGATATTGTAGTGTTACATAGATCTTATTCCAATGTTGACCACACCCACTTGTCTGTAATCACAATATTGTAGTGTTACATAGGTCTAATTCCAATGTTGACCACACCCACTTGTCTGTAATCACAATATTGTATTGTTACATAGGTTTCATTTAACTCTTTTTGCTGACTCGGTACAATCATTAATTTTCCTCTGTTTAGATGTGGTCAATGCTGGTACGAGGGCAAGTACAGTAAGGATTGTCCAGAGTGTGATGGCCATCACATGACCCGACCCTGTGCTATATGTGGAGGGGAATGTAACCAGGTCTGGAACCGGGATGTCAAGATTGTAAGTTTGACGTAAAGAGTAAAATTCAGAGTGATGTATGAGGTTAAAAATATAATTTATCATTGTTGTTATTTACTTTTCTTGACAGTGTACAATGTAATTAAGAAATTTTTGTTAAAAAAAAGTGGCGTAACCATTGGTCAACTTATCAATGCATTGCAAAAACTTTGCTCTCAGTAGCAATAGATTGATAGCATATTTTCAAGTAGATAACTATTGGACCAAGGATTTTTTTTAAAGAAAGTATGTTATGTCTCAGTTGTCACTTCTTTAAGTTCAAGAGGTTGGTTGCCATATTTTCCAGTTTATAAACCGCAACTTTTTTCCTCGGTTGGTTGGGCATGCAGATTATATCCCAATGCAGCTTATATGTAGCTGAAAAAAATCACCAGCATAAAAAAAAAAGAAGCTTATTGTCTGGATATCGGCTTTGGAATGGTCATTTTGACAATGGATATCACATGCACTATTGACCTGCGTGACCTCTCACCCTGATCATTTTGATTGCTGTAACATGTCATGCTTCTATAAAAAAATAAAAATTAGTGATTTAATGAAGATGATTTTAAGATTGAAATAAAATTAACATTCTTGTGGATTTTATTAATCATACCTTTTCATATGAATCACAACATTTTTTAAATGTTCATAGTCACTTTCAAAACCAAAGTGGAAGTTGACAATAGCCTGTTGCATCATGGGATCGATAGGTCATGAGGTCAAATTCTAGAACAATCACTATGTTTGTTTACAATAAGAATGGCTTCATGTAACTTACAAGAAATAATATGGGACTAGAAGAATTTTGTCAGCATTCAGGGGTCTTCACTTAAATTTAACATTACAGACACAGATGGAGATATTGTTAAGTAAACAGTACATAACATCAAGCCCTATTTCTGTGTATAGACAATCTTTGAAAGTTTCCAAGCCAAACAGGTTCAATAATTGCTATTTTATATTTTTGAAACACATCAATGAAATAAAGAATTATCTGTGCATAATTAATTCATTTCCAAACTTACATTAAATGTTTAACTGACAATCGTGATAAGATGGATTTCGCTGTCTGTTTTATCAGCAAACTTTGGTCAAGATACTGTTACATAAGAAAGGATACAGCTTGTATTCTGGTGCGTCTTATCTGTGGATCAAATTGAAAAAAATCGTAAAAATCAGCCTTACAACTTACACTCTGGTGTGGTTTATAGACTGGAAAATACAGTACTTATTTGTGCTAGGTAATTTTTTCCTAAGGTTCAGTTACTTTAAAGACTTTTTCTTACTATGCATTGGTAAATGTACTAAGAAACCATTTTGTTTTCAGTCACATTCTTTCCACAAGGCTCATTGGGATGGGAAGTGCATGCTTCCCATAGAAGCCCAGAATGCATACAAGAAACGAAATTCCTCACCAAGGTCACTGACGGAGGGCATGCAGGACTTGTCAACGAGATAACACAGTGGTGCCCTCTGTAGAAGTAAATCAGAGGTTTTCTGGAACAGGAGACTTAACTTTAAAAAATTGGAAACCTTTCACTTCTACAGTCCATCACTAATGAGATTTAGATATCTAGATGTACTTAACATTGTATTTTGGTTGAGTTCAATCAAAATCTAATGCGCTTTACAATACATGACCTATTTGTGCAGTTAATATCGCTTCATGATATGACTTATTTATGCATTTGAAATACTTACATACATACTTTGCACATTCACACATTAAATGATTTTTTTTTTAATTCCTAAGTATGATAAATTTGCTTTTTCTGCTCTGAATGTTTTATCAGTTAAGGTTCTCTATTACCAGGTAAATTTAAACCATCACTAATCTGGTTGTCACAAAATTCACCCTCATTCACCCAGCCACTCAGTTGTCCTGAAAATCAGCCACATTCACCAACCCTTCTCTTATCTAGTTGTCTAAATATGTAGTCTCATTCATGGAACCACTACTAATCTGGCTGTCTGAATATTCAGTCTCTTTCACCAAACTACCATTAATCTGGTTTTTCTGAACATTCAGTCTCTTTCACCTAGCCACAATTCATTGGGTTGTCCTAGTATTCAGCTTCGTTCACCACTAATCTTGTCGTCCCAATATTTAGCCTCATTTACCTAGCCACCACTTATCTGGAAGGTCTCAATATTTAATTGGGAAGAGTAATTTTGACACCTATGTCTGGACAAACTGTAAAATTAATTTCTCAAACTCTGCCTGTTCACTAGTATTTCAAATAATAAAATGTACACCTCTGTGTTAATGATGTCCATACTACAGGACCGATAAACAAGGAAATTTCTGACAAAACTCACGTTATACAGTTATTTGCAATTTGTAATCTACTGTAAGTTGGAATATTGTTAAATATGGCTATACACAACATTTTGACATTTTGTTCACCACTGGAAAATATCTAGTACAAAGTTTTACATTTCTTTGGAAAGCAGATTGTCAGATAATGAAATTACATTGTCAATGGAGAGTTATAGCCCTTTGTATAAGAAAGTTTGTCAATGTTAATCTCTTGATTATTTTGAGTGTTGGTCCTGCCTTGACATAGCACTCACACGTTGCTACAGAAATATATTAACTAATTCATTGACTCAACTGGTCAAAGTGTAACCTCCTGTTGTTTTTATTTGGTATGGAATAACAGAGAACACAAAACATATCATTAACAAGTAAACCATTGTCAGATTGATTTAACTGGAGCAATACTTGTGTACTCTGTTGGATTACATGTGTGTTTAAAATGAGACTTGATTACAAGTCCTGAACATGAATTTGAAGTGTTGCTAAACACAACTTTGTAACCAGGGTATGTATGTTTACTATTGTATGTTAAAATTTCTTATTGAACAAAATGTGGAATTCCAAAGTCTTGGGTTTGAATACTGGTGTGGCCATTTCATTTTCTTTTTTAATGCATCAATTAAGATCATTAGAGTACAGTAAATATCATGGCCTAATACCAAGTGTAAAAGACTTAATCTCATATATATATAACACTCATATATAAGCTTCCTTACCGATAGATACTGCTGACAGAATCATGGAAAAACTTTATATAGCATGATACTTTCATTTTCCATTTATGATGTATTGCATCAAATTGCATAATATATATGTATATTTCGCATAAATTGTTGACTTTTGTATCTCTAAGCTTGCATAGCTGAGGTAATTAACATTGTATATATTATATGTATATGGTAAAATGTTGTAATTTTTATTTTTTTATCAGTAGATTGAGTTCTTTATTTGTTGATGTGCTTTATGTCTCTAGCTTACCCCAACGATAACAAAATATTATATTCAGAATATATGATTTATCTTGCTTGTATGAAATCATTTCATGAAGTATATAGAACAGTCAAAGCAATATTCAACAGCTTTACCAGCCTGTCTAAAGACCACCTTTATACTAAGGTCACCTGTGTATAAAGGCCACTTTTCTCTGCTCCCTTGAGTGGCCTTTATAGACTAGTTCTTTATTCTGACAAGAATGACTGCTTTTGTTGATGCAACAAAACAGTTTTAACTCATCAAGCAAACTGGTGTCACAATTCTAAATGCAAAATTTCTAGTATGAATGTGATGGAACGGCAAATATTTGAATGGATTTTTTCCAGACTTAATAACTAGTGAAATAAGATCAGCAGAGGCGTCCTTATTTCATACAGGAGCAATTCTGTTCCAACATTTCAAATTTTCGCTGTTGAAGCAGCCTTAGGTAAAAGGAGAGCAGTTGTGTTCTCAGCAAATACCAAGAAGTTTTTTTCAACCTTCATCAGTTGATGAAAGTCTCATCTTTAGTCATTGTACAGTCATGTAATATTTTGATATTTTGCAATATAAGACCATGGCTGGCAATTAGTCTACCCATATTTATAACTATTCAGAAGACTTAAAAACCTGTATAAACCTATCGTCTAAATTTGAGCCAGAGTAATTTGTTGGCCCCTTGGGATTCTGAAATAAACCCACTCCATAACTTTGAGTCAAAAGTAGCCTTGGGTCCTGTAATAAACTCACTTCCTGAGTTTTAGTCAGAGGTAATGTGTTGGCCCTCTTGGGTCCTGTAATAAACTCACTTCCTGACTTTGAGTCAGAGGTAATGTGTTGGCCCACTGGGATCCAGTAATAAACCCACCCCATAACTTTGAATCCAAGGTAATGTGTTGGCTCCCTGGGATCCTGTAATAAACCCACCCCATAACTTTGAGTCAGAGGTAATGTGTTGGCTCCCTGGGATCCTGTAATAAACCCACCCCATAACTTTGAATTCAAGGTAATGTGTTGGCTCCCTGGGATCCTGTAATAAACTCACCCCATAACTTTGAGTCAGAGGTAATGTGTTGGCTCCCTGGGATCCTGTAATAAACCCCCCGCATAACTTTGAATTCAAGGTAATGTGTTGGCTCCCTGGGATCCTGTAATAAACCCACCCCATAACTTTGAGTCCAAGGTAATGTGTTGGCTCCCTGGGATCCTGTAATAAACCCACCCCATAACTTTGAGTCCAAGGTAATGTGTTGGCTCCGTGGGATCCTGTAATAAACCCACCCCATAACTTTGAGTCCAAGGTAATGTGTTGGCTCCCTGGGATCCTGTAATAAACCCACCCCATAACTTTGAGTCCAAGGTAATGTGTTGGCTCCCTGGGATCCTGTAATAAACCCACCCCATAACTTTGAGTCAGAGGTAATGTTTTGGTAGCTAGGGCTTTTGGCAGGGCAAACATTTTAAGACAATGAAGGGAGATAACTCTTGAAATTAAACCAAGAATCATAACTCTACAAATTGAAAATATTACATGAATTGCAGTATTTTCTGAAGGATCTGAGTGTATTCTTCATCTGTAAGTGCCAATACAAGCTGTATTTACTTGTAAGATTAGTGTAGTCTTTCTAATTTTCACTCTATGTTATCACATAACATGTGGTATGTATATGTATAGATAAATAGCAAAGAGAAGCTATGTAAGAACTCATCACATTCAATAAGATGGAATCAATTTTACCATGGAAAAAACATCTCTAGCATATAAATTATTTTTAAGGCAAACCTATGGAAGCAATAAACATTTCATGCATAATACTTGTCACAATATCCAGAATTCCTATTTATTAGTCAGAGCTATTTTCTATTGGTTGGGAACACATTTAAGATCTGTATGAAGAAAATGTGAAAACAGAAGTTCTTACAATACAACCAGTAGAAGATTGTAGTGTGATGTTACGATGACTACACAGTTTCCTTCATCAAACAGATTACTAGCGTGAAGCGTACTAACACTGACATACATAGTGTGTGAGATTATACGGAATCAACAACCTTTTCTTTACCATCTTGTATAATACATACGTCAGTGCTACTACGCTCCACATTAGTCATTTCTGTGATAAAGGTGACCGTGTAGTCATTGAAAAGTCACACTGAAATCTTCTACTGGTTGTGTTTAAAGAACTTTAATTCTATTGACATCACCAACCTGAAGAACATTTTCCAAAATAAATATGAAAACATCTTAACAGCTGTTACAGTAGACCTACCATATAGATATCAGTTACCATGGTTAAACCTATTATGTTCAAATCCTGCAGCATTTCATAGTTATTGTTATTATTATTCTCTAAATGGGTAGAGTAGACAAGTAAAATTTTGTATCAGGTTTAACTTTTAATAATGAGGAATATCTTCAACTTTTTCTGTATAGGACCAGTAAACTATATTTGCTATATTTCAGTAAATCTGGTTTTATTTATTTTACACCTGGTTGAAAAGTTTTGAATTTAGACACTATAGAATTGGCTTCTTTGCTGTGTCGCTCGAAGCTTTGTTGACAGTGATCCACTCCATCACAAATACAGTAGATAAATGTGTATGAGCGTTAAGAAACACACATTTGCCTTGAGTTTGATTTAACAATATTGACCTTGATTTTTCATCCTTGTACGTTGTAGGATGTTCGAAAAAATTTTTACCTTTATTCAGGTGATGGGACCAATTTCCCTGGCACAGCACAGAAAAGTGTGTCTAGTTTGGATTTACTATTGTAGTGATATTATGTGATGTGCTTATTACAAAGAGAAATACAGACTTTTGAAGATATTTTGGAATATAGACTTGTCCCACAGTTATTTATATCTGCAGTTTTTTTGCTGTATATGTCAATGAAGAAAACTTTTGTTTGATATTTTGGTTTAAATGTAATATATTGGTGTTTTGACAATCTGCCAAAAAATTCAGCTTAATAAATTTACATTTAAGTTTTGAGTTATTTTGTTTTTTTAGCTGACCTGCCAGAATGACAATTGGGTTTATGCCTTGAAGGGATGTCAGGTGTCTGCCCATTGTCCTGTTTTTCTTCAATTAGGCTTTCTTATGTGATTTGGTTTAGGGATATTCGGCCAGCAGCATCCTGAAATGAATCCTGTAAAAGTTTGTGTGAAATAAATTAACTTCTGTGTTTACATAGGTCTGATTTGTTTTTAAAAATCTCTAATGACTATTGCTGATTAATCAAAGGACCTAAAATTACAATGCTTTGATATTTAGCCCTTAGATGGCTAGCATGGAGTTCTCTGATGTTTACTGAAAGAAAAGGTCTTGATTGATGGAAATAATAATAATTAATAGAGGTCTGCTAAGTAGGGTCGTTTACATGTCTTGTGTTTACGAAAAACAGAATTTGTGTGAAAACCAATAAAACCCTCCAAATGATATAGTGAAACAAGGCCATCCCTCCAAATGATATAGTGTAACAAGGCCATCCCTCCAATTGATATAGTGAAGCAATGCCATCCCTCCTAATCATATAGTGTAACAATGCCATCCCTCCAAATGATATAGTGAAGCAAGGCCATCCCTCCAAATGATATAGTGAAGCAAGGCCATCCCTCCAAATGATATAGTGAAACAAGGCCATCCCTCCAAATGATATAGTGTAACAAGGCCATCCCTCCAATTGATATAGTGAAGCAAGGCCATCCCTCCAAATGATATAGTGAAACAAGGCCATCCCTCCAAATGATATAGTGAAACAAGGCCATCCCTCCAAATGATATACTGAAACAAGGCCATCCCTCCAAATGATATAGTGAAACAAGGCCATCCCTCCAAATGATATAGTGAAACAAGGCCATCCTTCCAAATGATATAGTGCAACAAGGCCTTCCCTCCAAATGATATAGTGAAACAAGGCCTTTCCTCCAAATGATATAATGAAACAAGGCCATTCTTCAAATTAAATAGTGAAACAAGGCCATCCCTACCAATGATATAGTGAAACAATGCCATCCTTCCAAATGATATCGTGAAACAAGGCCATCCTTCAAATGATATAGTGAAACAAGTCCATCCTCCAAATGATATAGTGAAACAAGTCCATCCTTCAAATGATATAGTGAAACCAGACCATTCTCCAAATGATATAGTGAAACAAGGCCTCCCCTCCAAATGATATATTGAAACAAAGCCATTCTTCAAATGATATAGTGAACCATCCTTCAAATGATATAGTGAAACAAGGCCATCCCTCCAAATGATATAGTGAAACAAGGCCATCCCTCCAAATGATATAGTAAAACAAGTCCATCCTTCAAATGATATAGTAAAACGAGGACATCCTCCAACTGATATAGTGAAACAAGGCCATTCCTCCAAATGTGAAACAAGGCCATCCCTCCAAATGATACAGTGAAACAAGGCCATCCTCCAAATGATATAGTGAAACAAGGCCATCCTCCAAATGATATAGTGAAACAAGGCCATCCTCCAAATGATATAGTGAAACAAGGCCATTCCTCCAAATGATAATACAGTGAAATAAAGCCAACCTCAAAATTATGATATAGTGAAACAAGTCCTTCCCTCCAAATGATATATTGGAAACAAGACCATCCTTCCAAATGATATAGTGAAACAAGGCTATCGTCCTAATGATATAGTGAAACAAGGCTATCGTCCTAATGATATAGTGAAACAAGGCCATCCTTCTTAAAATGATATTGTGAAACAAGACCATCCTTCAAATGATATAGTGAAACAAGGCCATTCCCTCCAAATGATGTAGTGAAACAAGGCCATGCCATCCTTCAAATGATATAGTGAAACAAGGCCTTCCTTCAAATGATATAGTGAAAAAAGACAATTGTTCAAATGATATAGTGAAACAAGGCTATCGTCCTAATGATATAGTGAAACAAGGCTATCGTCCTAATGATATAGTGAAACAATGCCATCCTTCCAAATGATATCGTGAAACAAGGCCATCCTTCAAATGATATAGTAAA